ATTATGTACATCCAGCTGTTCCTCATCATTTACAAATCTGAGTGTTACGTCAAACATTTTGAAATCGGTGCAGCTCGGACACAAAATGGTGTGTTAAAATGGAAGAACATTTTTGCCTATATGTACATATGCGTATAGGGCCCGCGAAGCGGGCCTGAGGGCGCGAGGCGCCCTCCCGGGGGTTGGGCCGCGTAGCGGTCAGGGGGCAGGGCCCCCTAGTATTCATAACTCTCCTTAAAAATAGGCATTTTATTTGCGGAAATTTGACAACTCTCGAATGTTTATACAGCGTTTTTCCCTAGCTAAGCAGTGTAACGGCGCACGGTGGATCGAGTCAATTAGAGAGATCGGACATGAAATTTTTGACTAAAACTGCAAATTATTATGTTTATTTCGTCGCATTTTAAACTTAAAGGGGTGCACAGAAGAAAAAGAGAAAATCACGCTAGGAAACCAATGAAACCAGTCTTAGAACTTCGAAGTCTTGTATACATGGAGTTATAAGCGTTTAAAGTTTCCAAATTTTGTCCGACCTCTCCTATTGACTCGATCCATTGTGCGGCGTAACTTGACCAAAAAAATGCAAAAATATACTGATAAGAAAAGATCCGGCCAAGTAAACCGTACTTTCGGGCTATATGGACGTACCGTCCGTGTTCCGGGCTCAGATGCCGGAAATTCCGGGCGTAGTACCCGGAACAATCGAAGCTACGGCTCCAGCACCCGAAACTTTCGGCCTCTGAGCCCGGAACGGACGGTACGTCTACATAGTCCGTACCTTTCTCTTCCAGTGTGTATTTCCAAGTTCAGCTCCATAAATCAGGTTTCGACCTCCTGTTTCAGATGCTATTGGGGAAGGCAGCGCTCCTCAGCATACTGATAGCAGCCCTCACAGGAGCGACCGGAGAGCCAGCATTCGGCGGGAGCCGAGCAGAGGATGACGGAGCGGCCGGACGACCGACCGCCGCCGCGGAGCCGGAGCCGGCGGCGGCGCGCGCCACCCTCGACCGGCATCGGGCGCCGGAGACGACGCCGACCCCGCCCGCCGCCACGCGCGCCCCCTTCCGCGGCAGCGCCAAGTTTGTAAATAACATAGCCACCACTAATCAAGGTTACGATTATAAACCCGTTAGCTTAAGTAGTAGACAACCCTCGCGGCGCCCCATGACGCCCGAGACCCCGAAACGGAAGACTCCCAGTCAGAGGACACTTAGTTTAAGTAGAACACAACCCGAGAATGATACGAGTCAGTCATCCCCCGGAGAGCAGAGAGAACACAGGTCTTCATCACTGGTTAGACCGTACGACACACGACCTGGGAGAACACAACCCGAGAATGATACGAGTCAGTCATCCCCCGGAGAGCAGACAGAACACAGGTCTTCATCACTGGTTAGACCGTACGACACGCGACCTGGGAGAACACAACCCGAGAATGATACGAGTCAGTCATCCCCCGGAGAGCAAAGAGAACACAGGTCTTCATCACTGGTTAGACCGTACGACACGCGACCTGGGAGAACACAACCCGATACACAGAATGATCCGAGTCAGTCATCCCCCGGAGAACAAAGAGAACACAGATCATCACTGGTTAGACCGTACGACACGCGACCTGGGAGAACACAACCCGATACACAGAGTGATACGAGTGCGTCATCCCCAGGAGAGCAAAGAGAACACAGGTCTTCATCTCCAGTGAGAGCGTACGACACGCAACCCGGGCGATCAACCACATCGCGTCCGGCCCGGACGAGAGGAACAACCGAATCGAGAAAGGAAGAGGAGAGCACGACTAGGTATTCATCGATACGCAGACCGTACGATAGAGTCATAGGTAATAACGAACGACAGGTAGTACCCGACGAACCGGTGACGCAGTCGACCAAACAAAGAACGTATGACAAATCTATAAGTTTAAACGATAGGAGACCGAGTGAGACTCCGCCGGTTGAGACTTCAAACTCGGACTCCGACGGGGACTCGCTTCGGTTAAGTAGGGAATCGACTCGGAATTCCGAGATGATAGTGAGGACGATCGACGACCCTGCATCGCCGACGATATCGAAACAACAAAAACTCAGGATTCTCGTCCGGTCGGACGCGAAGAAATCGACGAAAAAGAACAAATACAGTGAACTAGTCAGAGCACCGACGTCCGAGAGGGTCGACGGAGAGTCGAGTACGAGAGACACCTCTGAGGAACCCGAAGTCGGTGGGAGTACAGAAGCAACTGCAGTCGGAAGGTTGAACAAGTTGACATTCTTCAGGAATGGGGAAGAGATAAAAGGAGAAGACCTGGCGAAGAAGCGCGTCACGAGGCTGCAGAATCCAAGAGATTCGAATTCGGAGAAAGCTGTGGAGAGCTTGGAGCCGGCGAGCGCCAACGGAGGTAACGACAAGACCAACAGCTCGGCCGACGACGGAGACGAGGATAAGAAGACGCTGTCGCAGCAAGTGGCGGACGGGAAGTACGGCTTAATCCATACGGAACTGTTCTCAGTCAAGCCGACTCGGCCAGGAATCATCAACTACGAGATCAACCCCGAAGTGCCAAAAGACAATGTAAATAATCTGGGGGGACTGAACGCCGAGGAGATCTGGTTGGCCGAGAACCACTTGCTCGTACTGTCCGGAGGCGGGTTCAGCGATCAGAATTCCCGGACGAGGTGGACGCCGATCGATAATTACCAAGCTCCGCGCCGGCAAGTCAAAATCCCGGAAAGACCCAAAGTTCCTCCACCGTTTCCGGTCCAGCTCACGGACGATGGACCGATAGAGTTCCTGAAAGACGAGAACGGGACTGAACACAGGCCTCCTTTCTTCCCTCCCGATTTCAATCCTTTGGCTTTTCCTCCGCCGTTCCCTCCGAACGGTTCCTTCGACGGCGGCTTCCCTCCTCCATTCCCAGTGCCACCTGGATTCTTTCCGGGAAACATAACGCCTGGAGCGTACCCTCCGTTTCCACCTCCTTATCCCTTCCCGCCGAGCCTGCAAAATGACTCGAGGCCCTTGCCTCTTCCACCAAGACTGCCGCCAAAATTACCGTTCCTCCCGCCTCCGGGTAACGGAACAGAATTCGACGAGGACGATCCTGCTTTGTATTATCCGCCTCCTTATGATTTCTACTACCCCAAGGATAATCATTCCATAGTTCCTCCTGGTCCTCTGGTGCCGGGTATCGTGCTACCGCCGCCTCCAGATTTCTTCGCACCGCTGAACGAAAAGCCGAAGAACAAGACCAAAACGAAGAGCAAAGCCCGCCCACGACCGAGCAATACGTATCTGCCACCGCCTCCACTTAAGAAAGTTCCTCAGATATTCCGGACTACGACCTCGACCACAACTTCGACCATCGCCACGACGACGGCAAAACCGATTGTGCATAATGACGTTACGACGCCAGAGTATTATTACGTCCAAACAACGTCACCGAAGCCGATAGCAGATGATATAACCAATGAAATCACACAGACCACCGTTTCCAACCCCAAATACAGCTTGCCCATTGAGGAGAACGACTGGATGCCTATTCCTGCTCCTGTTCCTAGCTACATTACCGGTCCTAAAAAACCGGTTAAGGCGGGCATCGTCTACACATTCACCCACACTACTCCCCCGGCAAACAAACCTATTTTCCACGGCTATACATACGAAAAACCCAAAATACCTTTCAAGACGCCCGATTTAGATTTGTACTACAAACCACAACAAAACACAAAATACGACGACCAGCAAAGTTTTACTCCTTCGAACTTTTCTAATCAAATAAATAATGAACTCAACTTGGTTTACCCGGTGGATAATGACCCACCAAGAGATCCCTCGTACGTCACCAGTACAGGATCTCCTTCGCCGCTTTATGACAGTCTACAATTCAAACATAACTTCAAAGACTATTTCGGAGGCACACACTTGAAAGGCTCGAAAGGTTTCTTACAGTCAACGACCGACACTCCTTTCAAATCCTACAGTACAACATTACGCCCCTACGGAAAACCTAAGGCCTTGGAGGCTACATACTATTTCTACGAAGAGCCGAAAGAATCTTCAGATGAGTACACAGATGGCAAACACACTCACACCAAAGCGACGAGGAAGCCACACCATGCTTTTTACCCAACATCTGGGAACGGGTTCCATTCAAGTACACCCAGACCTATTTATCATCACGCTCAGTCCGACTACAACAGTGTTACGAGTACTACCACACCCGCACCGGAGAAATACTATTACGTTGCTGATCTTAGCGATCCTGAGAAGTTTAATAGTGAGGAGAAATACAAGCCTAGCATTTTCGACGAAACCCTTAAAAAACCACTTAAGTCTGAAGTAGGTTCAAGACCTATAGTAGAGTTCAGCTACAGTGCTCCTTCTTATTCAGGCGACAGTGGCGCCGGTCACCTGAGCGACTATTTCAATTCGAAACCATTTTTCGACAGTCCAAAATTCGTGGTCACTCCGAAACCGGACAACGTCGTATACGTGCGCCCCGCGAGACCGACCCAGTCGCCGTTGGACGACTACTACAGTACGACTAAGCCGCCTCGCGTTTTCAAGAGCGCGAACCGAACAGTAACGACCCAACAGACACCCTGGTACGGTCTCACGAAAGAACAGATAGCGACCGAAAATCCTTACTACGCTTTCTTCACGCACCAGGACGATGGTCTGATCGACGACATAACCAAAACGTACTTCACGATTTTCGGCCAGAAGATAAAAGCCACCCCTTCACCGGACATAGACGCGCCGAGGAAGCATCCCCGACCGCATCAACCCAAGTCCGGAGCTCCGGCCCCATCTTTGCTCTTCAACGGTGCTATATATAGTTCGCCCAAGCCGAACTACATAGAACTGCCATATCAACCGGTGTCCCATCGCCCGGAGCACACGACTTCCAACTACGCGACGTCCTCGGAAGACTACGGGGAGAACTTCCCGAATCGATACACGACCACTCGTCCTCCTCAGATCGCCTTCCCGACGTTCTCATCCCCTCACGAGAACGTGCAATTCACGACCCCTAAACCTTTCTACCACGGGTCTTACGGTTCTGGGAATAAGCTGGTTCCTATCCAGTATTCGACTCCGCAACCGTCGGGCGACTCGAGTAACCACCACTTCAACCAGCGACCGATAAAGATCAGGCCCCCGGTGCTGTACAACGATGAGCTCGTCAATTACAAGAGGCCTTTGCCGCCGATCAATCCGGACGCGGAGTTCATCGCTCCCCGTCCGTTCAGGAACAACAAATTCAAAGGCCGACCGAGACTCCCCAGCGGGACGAGTCAGATCATTTCCTATCGCTTGCCGGGCAACGGCGGGGGTCATTTCTACTTCTTGACGCCGCAAGAGGTACGGAATTTTGACCCGATCGAGCCGCTTGCTGGAGAGAACGGAGAAACTGAAGACAAGGGCTACTTCAAGAGGGAGACTCATCGAACACTGGATGTGGAGCGAGGTGGGAAAGAAACGAAGGTTCAGCCGGTAGAAGTTAAATAGAGTAAGGCGAAACCTAGCCAGAGAACTCATGGTGGTGTTTGAGAATCTGAATAATTTCAAGCATTCGTGGGTCGAGTCATCTGCCGATGACTGTAAAATAGAAGGCGAGGACCCGGTCATTTCAAATGAACCGAGAGAATTGCTACCGGGCTACGGAAGAACGCTTTATAAGCCTTCAGACGTTGACAAATTTTTTTCGATAAAATATGAGTTTTTAGGAAAACCTATGAATATTTTACAGAGAATTTAACTCACAATGAGATTTAAATTTTCTGTAAAATATTCATACATTTTCCTAACAACTCATATTTTATTGAAAGAAATTTGTCAACGTCTCGATTGTTCATACGACGTTTTTCCTAGCACGGCAGATTACGCCTCCCCACAAATCAAAAGACTGCGACTTGATGATCCAGCTGAGACGAAGGATCAGAAGTTTGGATTTTCGTGTTTTTGCGTAGAGCAAAGATCGCGAATGGCAAAGTCTTCTACACTAGTAAATTTAAATCTTGGGATTTCGTCTGTAATGTCTGCTTACGTGGGACACAAAGCAATCGTTCTTCTCTCAACTGGATGCACTGCGATGAAGCACTACGTTTAGTTGATAACTAACGACCGATTGTCGTTCCTCTGACATCAGGGCTAGTCTAGATTTCCAGATGAGCCCCAGAAAGCGTGGATTTTTATGTGAAACAGGGCTCACGGGATAATTGGACTGCATTTTGCAATTTGGAGCTATAAATTCTGGCTCATCTAAAAAAACACTTATGTGCATAGGAAAACTAATGGCACATACGTTGTTTTTAAACCGGGCCAGAATTTATAGTTCCTAATTGCAAAATGTAGTCCAATTGAGATGCGCCCTTCCGCTAGGGGGCGACAAGATAAGGACGCTTATTCTTCTGGACCAGGACATGTATGATACGATTTTAGAATAACTTCAGTGCATTGACTTACGACTGCGACGATAAGAAAAGAAATTAGACATGATCACTTACAGCTTCTACAGCGACTTGTGCCAAATAATTTTATTTCCTGTCCTCCCTTCTGATTTTTATACTTAAGCCAGAGAGATAGTATACCTCAGTGCTACAATATAAACTCTAGTTTCCCAAATCCTTAAAAAAAACTGCAAGCTACTATGACGTTTGTGCAATGATTTAGTAATGATAAGATACTTCTCTGAACATAAAAGACTACCTTCAGAGTAAGTGCCTAGAATAATGATCATTGACCATCTTATTATTGTTTAATCAGCCGAATTGATGTTCGTTAGGTCTCGCTTTTTGACACCACAAAAACAGAACACCTCTTGGACAGTTTCTTTATTGATGAGACTACGAGGGCTGTCCCAAAAGAAACCGGACTTTTGTCATAGAAGGCGAACCGAGCGTTGTAATGGAGTTTTCTTGGGCTTGTTTGAAAGCTGATAAGCTACTAAAGATGCTTGTTTTTACAGAATGCAAAAATTCGTCTTGGTAAGGAAACTACACGCTTTGGAATAAAGGAAAGTCAAACTCGAGTTGCGATTTTTGTCTTTATTTCAAGAAAAATTTAGTTAGGTACAACTTAAAAAAAACTCAGGTTTTAAGCTAAAAACTTCGTTGCTCTCTTATTCAAATGCTTAAAAATAAGGAAATTAACATTTTCAGCAGCTTACCAAGTCATAACCTATCCCCGTCAAAATACTTGCCAGCTTTGTCGATGCATTTTTTCCCACCATTTCTTCCACTGGGAGAAACACTGTTGGAAATCCTCAGATTTGAATGATCGCAATTCCTTCAAGGTGACCTGACCTGGCTCCGTGTGATTCTTTCTTATTTCCACGACTTAAATCTGCCTTGAAAGGTCGGCGTTTTCAAACCATTCCAGAAATTCAAGAGAACACAAGGAATTGCGATCATTCAAATCTGAGGATTTCCAACAGTGTTTCTCCCAATTGAAGAAATGGTGGCAAAAATGCATCAACAAAGCTGGCGAGTATTTTGAAGGGGATAGGTGATGACTTGGTAAGCTGCTGAAAATGTTAATTTCCTTATTTTTAAGTATTTGAATAAGAGAGCAACGAAGTTTTTAACTTAAAACCTGAGTTTTTTTTTAAGTTGTACCTAACTAAATTTTTCTTGAAATAAAGACAAAAATCGCAACTCGAGTTTGACTTTCCTTTATTCCAAAGCGTGTAGTTTCCTTACCAAGACGAATTTTTGCATTCTGTAAAAACAAGCATCTTCAGTAGCTCATCAGCTTTCAAACAAGCCCAAGAAAACTTCATTACAACGCTCGGTTCGCCTTCTATGACAAAAGTCCGGTTTCTTTTGGGACAGCCCTCGTATAAAGCAACGCTGACTTTCGTGACGAGGACACATCATTGACAGTGGCGAGGCGTGAATAATCGATTATTGATCTTCCCCCATTCGAACCCATGGCAAAGAATCGATTATTAAGGCGTTCTTTTCGAACATCCCCTTTATCGATCCTTTCCCAGGAAAATGGCAGGTCAATCGATACATCGCAAATTACGCCGCGCCACTGATCATTGACCTTACAAATTCAACGCATTCTTTGAGTCCATGTGTTTTCGCAAACTAAACAGCGTGACATTAATTTTTTACCTCATTAATTGAGAGCTCAAAGATACTACATAAATTCTGATCATTTTACAGCCTCAAGATCGAATGATCATCTGAAATTCGGCGTTTTGGCTGAATCTAACTTTAGAGACTCAATTGATGTCTTTTTATACTTATACTTGAATTGTGATACATTTATTTTTAAAATCAATGCAAAATATCTGTTGCATGTTATATTGGTTGATGTAAAAATATAAAAAATAAACGTGATGTAAAATACATGAAAAAAGCAGTTTGACAGTTATTTCCTTTCACTCCAAAAACCACGCCTTTATTACGTTGAATTTCTTTGTTAAAATTGGTAAGTGAGTGCTTCAGTCTTCTGGCAACAGAATTGCGATCTCAAATTTGGAGAAAAATGACGAGTAGCTGAAAAAATTGAACCAATTGATGCCATATATCGCATGCCGTTCTGACACGAAATATGGCGTCCATCGAATCACCTTAATTCAACATGAGAGATACGCATACTTTGAAGAATAAGGCAACATTGGACAAGCTCGCCGGTTAATTGCTCCAGTTCAAATTCACTGGTAAATTGCGCGCGCGCGAGTTGTAGGTGCATAAAAACTTCCAACTGTCGAACGCGGGTCCATTTTTAGAACTTGTCTCTTAAATCGCATTTTTAATGCGCGGCTTTACAGCTCCGTGCTCGCCGCCCGGGTCCGGGTGACTTTCGAGCGGGGCGGATAGAAATGTCCGAGCACTCGCCTGTCCGCCGTTAATTGCCCCTTGAAAGGTGGACTGCACTGTCGTGCTAAGGAAAAACGCCGTATGAACCTTCAAGCGTTGCCAAATTTCCTCTGGTAAAATGCGAATTTATTGGGGAAATTTGAAATATTTTTATTCAAATTCTTCAGACTATTTTGTTCGCAATTCAATATAAGATACCTGAAAATTTTAAGGAAAAATATGCATAACATTCCTTAAAAATAAACATTTTATCGAAGGAAATTTGGCAAAGCTCGAATGTTCATACGGCGTTCTGTCTTAGCACGGTAGTACAAGATCGCTGGGCTGGGCACTGGGGATGGCTAAACGAGGAAAAGACTGCTTCGAGAAAATATGTATGAGAATCAAGAAGCTCACCATATCATCACAATACTGCCGGATACTTTTAAAGGATAGTTCGACGTTTCAAAATTTCCGCAGCCATTTTATTATTTATTTATTTATTTCTTTTAAACAGAGAAACGGTTTAACGAAGCTGCCCGAAAATTTCAGTTATTGCGGGATATTTTGAAAGGATAGTTCGCTGTGGAGTCCCTTCATATATATCGTTACCTTTCGGCAAAGTCATCACAAGTGTCATGCAACGCTTCAACATTTCCGCCGCCATTCTATTTTTTTTTTTTTTTTTTTTTTTTTTTACAGAGAGGCGGTTCAACGAAGCTGTCCAAAAATTTCACTGAATTTTCTTGGTGCTGCCGATGAGATTCGGTGGAATTTTCAAACAAATGCAACCGACAATTTCTGAGTAAAAAAATAAAATGGCGACCGAAATTTTTAGACGTCGCCTCAAATCGGGATTAAATCCTGATGCTAGACACCCTGTTAAATAGGACTATTGGTACGAGATATCAATATTGGAAAACTTTACTTTATTTTGTACAAATATCTAACATAAGAATCCTAGACTCACGCTTATGCCTGAAGTTTTTCGGGCACTATAACCACGCCCGAAGAGTGCTGCATTTTTCTATTGAGGAGGTACTGAATTTCTTGGGAATGTCCTAGAAAAGTACTGTAAAAGTACTGATTTTTGGAGCCGGTTTTAGTAGACACCCTGCGGTATCGTTCCCGTGCCCGAAACCAGCTTTGAAACTGAAATCGTACAAAAGAGAGAGTCTAGAAACTTCACACTGGCGTCTCAGAGCTTTGAGTTGGAGATGCATCATTCATTAAAGAGCAAAGCAATGATAAAGGCCATGACTTGCTTGACTTAAAACTTAGTTTCAAAGAAAAACCGCAGCATGCAAAAAAAAATCGGCTCGCCAATCACCACCATTTACCAATGGTATAACCTGTTTTTGACGAACGTTTCGTGCGTTTAAAAAGTCAGGGAGAAGTAACAGTAAAATAGATGAAAAACAGCTGAAAGATAACGACTCTGTCAAATCCGTCAACCAAATTTATTTGCAACGAGCAAAACTTGATGAGCTCTCTCCATGTTTCTGCCGAGTCACTGATGACCGTGGCGCTAGTATTCTAATATAAATGTATTTTTATGCATTTGCGAGGTTTTTGCTTAACTCATACACAATTTGCACAATTAAATACGCACCACGTACAGAGGATGAATTTTTGTTATGCAAGGCTGAAGCTGACTTCTTATATTCCATGAAAATTACGAGTGAGAATAGCAATCATTGATATGAAAAATACACCTAAGAATGATGCCGATCTGATTAGCGTGAAAGTTTTGGGTTCTTCCAACTACATGTTGGAATTGAGGATTCACTTACTGT